GTCCACATACGAGGCAGCACTGGAACGCTTAGAAGATTATGAATTGCCTATTCATTACGTAGAGATTAACATTAATTGCTTAGGTTTGAGTGAGGTAACTGGGAAAGCAGCTAAAATCCGAAGAACGGATGGGACAAAACTCTCAGTGAGAGCTATGCCGCAGTGTCACAATGATGATGATAGCTCCTAGGAACCCCAAACAAAGATCAGTGCTCAGCACTGTACAGGCAGGTCATCAAAGGAGACAGTCCTTGTCCCAGGATGCTTACCTAGGTCAGAGTCACAGCGGGTGAATCCTTCCCCTGCCCCCAGTGGTGAAAGGAACTTCAAATTTCTTATAGGTACTATCCTATTGCATGTCCTTGCCAGCTCTTTAACTAGCTCCTTCTGCTGCAGCTCCACCAGCTCTTGCTGGAGCCGTGCACCACAGCGCACCTGCTTTCTTACCCCTCTGCCTGCCCTCCCCCCAAAATGGTGGCAAGGGAGGTGGAAGGACTGGCTAGCAAAATGAAGAGAGTTTCCAGAAAAATGTATCTCTTGGCTCTCCCCTTGCCAATCCATTTTTTCCTTGATTCCTGTCCCTCCCTCCTTCCTATCCTTCTGTAGTTTGTTCTAAGCATGTAACAACCCCGTGGTGCAAACTGGCAGCTAGGAAGAGACGCTTCAACTTAAGGACTTCGAGAAATGAATTTGCCTGGCTCCGCTCAGCCACTGTGCTGACAAGAGGCAGGCTCATAAACAGCAGCTGAAAAGTCCCATCTTAGATTCTGATCTGTCACCGCCTCCCAACTTTTTAATTTCTCAAATAAAATGACAGGCCATTTCCACTATTATTTGGACTGCAGTAGCACTGAGAGGAGATTAAGGAGTCAGGCGCTATGCAAGCACGTAGAAAGAGAGAGCCCCTTGCTCCAAACAGCTCACAACCTAAACAGACAAGGAAGAGGAAAGGTAGAAGGGAAAGCGCACACAGAGTGGATAAGTGACTTGCTCAAGGTGACAGAGCAGATCAGTGGCAGAGGAAGGACAAGAGCCGATGTCCTGTTTTAACTTAAATCATGAAGATAAGAGTCGCAGAACTGAGCCTATTGTGTGCAGATGGAGCCACGTAAATGGCAAGTTATTGAAAATTAAGCAAATCTTGTCTGAGCTAATAGAGATATTTACACGTCTGGACTTATGAAAAGTCTGACTTCTTCCTTTTGAGTTGCAGGCAACAATACATAATTTGCATAAAACACACGGGAAAGGAAGATGCAGAATATGCTCTTTGAGAATGAATTAGGAACCATTAGCTGAGAAACAAATAACAGATATGCATCTCATCTGCATTGTTCATTTTTCTCTATCTGGAAATTTTGTCGTCTTTCTGAGTAGTGAAGAGATAATTGCTGCAGCTGCACCATTCAGTATATTCCAAAGAAACCCTTTTGCGTTAATTCAGACTATGATTAGACACTTGGGGCCAAATTTCTTCTTTGTGTAAGCCAAGTGAAACCAAATGCATTCCCCTCCCACCCCCCACCCACCGGGATGGACTTAACCCTTACTATTTAAATAATGGGTTCCAAGTGCTTTGTGCCACAGGAGACAAAGGAAAAAGGTTTTTAAAAAGTCAGGAATTCTCTTGTTTTCCCGTGCAAAATGGGACTTTTGAAATGGAACTATAGACAAAGATAGCTTATCTCTTCTTGCAACAGAGCCAGGAAACTGACTAAGATACTGTATTAAAAACACAAGGGGATTTATTGTAGCTAGAATAAATATGTCGCTCATTTATCACAACAGAGACAGTTTAGATTCAAGTGAAAGGTCCAAGGACAATGACTAGAAACTATTTTCAGCCCAACTGTATGAATCAGGAAATGTTTTATACAGATCAGGGAACTGTATAAAAATGAGACCAGAAATAAAAAAAGGAGTAGGAATTCAATTATCTACGGTAATTGATATGATAACATCTGAGGAAATGCTCACATCAGCTTCATGTTCCTAGGCCCTATGCTTTTTTAAGCATTCATGCACAACAAAGAACTAGATGCTCTTTTAAATTTCACTGAGAACAATGAAGCAGATAGAATAAAGCAAAAGCCAGGGAACCTCTCACGCCCAGTGGCACAAAATGATGCTAATGAGAAGGAGCTTATCCTCCGAACTGTAAAATAACAATGGGTACAAAAAAATCAATTTGGCTCAGAAAGCAGCTGTAGTGTAAATATCAGGGTCATCTCCGCTCCATCTTTCCCTGTCGACATTCAGAGTTATCCCATTGTAAACATTCAAAAAATGCAAGTGTAGTGTTTACCGACAATAGGTGTAAGAGTTTAAAATAGCCCTGTCAAGGTTTAGCCATCAAAGCACATGAACAAAAAGGAGGAGGTAACTGGCTTTTCCCCAGAATCTTGCCCATGTGATAAAATAACACATGACATCTTCAGGGGGGAGGAACCGGGGAACCTTCTTTGCCCTTGACCTTGGACTGTATGTCTGTCCTATTGCTTTGCTCAGGGCTGGTCTTACCATGAGGCGAACTGAGGTGGCCACCCACTAGGACCCAGAGTGTAGAAAATTGTGTCTGCTGCTGGTGCATATGTTGCATAGCAGAGCTGTACCATGGGAGGAGTAGAACAGGAAGAAGGCAGAATTGAGACCTTTCAAAGTTTTGGCCCAAGCGAAGGGGTTTGGGGGTGACATTTGAGCTCCCCGCCTCAGGTGCCAAAATGTTGTGGGCCGCCTTGGCTCTGCTTTATCCTGAGTGCATCACCATAAACTTGCCCTTGACCTAAAGAAGGAGGCACAATGCTGTGAAGCTAAGCAGCATTTACGACTGTGGCCACATGTGGGAACTATGGCCTTAGGAATTTTTGATGTCACGGGGTAAAATGGTCACAGAGATCTGCTGGGTCTGGTGCTTAGATACTAGTCCAAAGAGTGCCACGTAAGCTGTCTGTGGAGAGCCTATGTCACGCTGGCAATCACAGTCTTTAGGAAATGTATGTGTGGATAATACAAGAGATGATCAAGAATTTAAAACCTTGATGCTAAAGGCAGATCTCTCAGAGGTAACATGCCTTGAGATCGGTTTCACCAAACACGAGGTGGGAAGCACATATTTCCCTGGCTGGCCATTGCATATTATGTGTCTTATTATGACAATCTATTTGCATACGGGGTATAATGCTCATGAAGAAACTGCAGGAACTTCAGGAGAAGAAATTAACAGGAAGAAGTCAACAGCAGGAGAGTTTACACATAAGGGGCTCGTCTACATTGGCCCCTTTTCCGGAAGGGGCATGTTAATTTCAGAGGTCGTAATAGGGAAATCCGCGGGGGATTTAAATATCCCCCACAGCATTTAAATAAAAATGTCCGCCACTTTTTTCCGGCTTTTAGAAAAGCCGGAAAAGAGCATCTACACTGGCCCCAATCCTCCGGAAAAAGCGCCCTTTTCCGGAGGATCTTATTCCTACTTTGAAGTATTTAAATCCCCCGTGGATTTCCCTATTACGACCTCTGAAATTAACATGCCCCTTCCGGAAAAGGGGCCAATGTAGACGAGCCCCTTATGTGTAAACTCTCCTGCTGTTGACTTCTTCCTGTTAATTTCTTCTCCTGAAGTTCCTGCAGTTTCTTCATGAGCATTATACCCCGTATGCAAATAGATTGTCATAATAAGACACATAATATGCAATGGCCAGCCAGGGAAATATGTGCTTCCCACCTCGTGTTTGGTGAAACCGATCTCAAGGCATGTTACCTCTGAGAGATCTGCCTTTAGCATCAAGGTTTTAAATTCTTGATCATCTCTTGTATTATCCACACATACATTTCCTAAAGACTGTGATTGCCAGCGTGACATAGGCTCTCCACAGACAGCTTACGTGGCACTCTTTGGACTAGTATCTAAGCACCAGACCCAGCAGATCTCTGTGACCATTTTACCCCGTGACATCAAAAATTCCTAATAAAGGTCTATTCTAATCTATCAAGGCATGCAAAAAGACACCACAACGTCCTTCTCAGGACACAGGCTGCTGTTGGGGTGGGTCTCATAAAAGGAGGGTCTCAGACATCCTGGTTGAGCAACACTGAGAGAAAGATTCTGGGGAAGCCGAATCTTATTTAACCAGAAGGCATCCTGTTAGTCATGTTTAGGCTCTAGAATGTGTGTTACGATGTTATATTTGCTGTAATTTGAACCTCTGTTCTTTGTTATTAAAACATAACCTGCTTTTCACTATAAAAGTGTCTAGGTGCCTTGCATTAAGTGGAGCTCGGTCCTACTGTGTGACCAACAAGCCGGGGTAACCTATTTCTTAGGGAACAGAGTTTCTGGAACTCTCTGAGCACCTGGTGGATTGGGGCTGGACACTGCAGGGGGAAGTCTGGAGGTCTTGGCGATTCAATGTATTTGTTGCTAACCTGCAAAGGGGCACAGAACTTGTGTGGGCTGAGAGGGGTGTGCTCATGGTGCTCGGGGCTGGTGATGCCTGGGAGCTGACTCATGGCCTGCACGGACAAGACTTTCTCATGCTAAGGACAAGTGGTAGCGAGTTGAGTGCCCCCAACTTAGGCCACATCTTCACTTGCCACGCCGGAGATGGGTCTTCTGGCATTTAATTTAGTGGGTCTAGTTAAGACTCTCTAAATCTAACACTGAGAGCAACTTTGGTTAGTGCCAGTAGTCCTCGCAGTCACAAGAAGTAAAGGAAGTTGATGGGAGTGTTTGCTCATGTTGGCCTTCCTCTGTGAAGACAGTGTCAACTTTGGCTTATGATAAGCTGACTCCAGCTACGTATTTTACGTAGCTGGAGTTGCGTAGCTTAACCGACCTTCCAGGTCTAGTGTAGATCTGGCCTCATCAGGGGACTGTGGAGAGCATTTCAGACACCGAGATGGAGTGGGGCTTCTCTAAACAGTGTGTGGCTGCATGGTACTTTTAAACACAGCCCTTCAGTGAAGCTCTCTGGCAAACCATCAAACAACAACTTACAGTGGTTCGTTTTATTGGCTTGATACAAGGGCACAAATGCGTTGTGAGTGCAGTAAATACACTGATGTGTGGCAGTACCCAGTCCGGTGGCTTCACCATCCGATGGTATGTACACATCACATAGATTCAGGAAGGCAGCAGCGGGACTGGAGGTGAAGGCTTTGTGTGGAGAACGCGGCTTTGTCATGATCTAGCTGTCCTGTTTTGCCTGGAAGGAGAGAAAGAAGATATTGATCATGTTTACTCATCTGGCCCGTTACCATAGCATCACACTCCTCCTGTGAAATAAGCAAGTGCTTGTATCCATGACATACAGAGGCCTAACACATAGTGCAGGTTACCCAGAAGTCTTTGGCAGAGCAGGGGATGACACCCAGAGCTCTAGACTTTGCCTTCACTACAGAAAGGGTGTGTGTTTACATTGCCATGGTGATGAGGGGATGCAGGGCACCATTGTTTTGAACCTCCATGTAGCTGTTCAAAGTCGGGGAGCCAACAACCTGGCTGGGACCCTGGCCGGGGACGTGGTAGTCACAGAAGCTGCAGTAGTAGGGCCTGGACCAGAGATGTGGCAGGCCCGGGCGGGGCCACCCAGGGG